ACATTGTGGCAGAAAATTTTAAATATAAGATTTTTTAAACTCACGACACAACTTTCATGCCGTTATAATCTATAAGGAAAATCAAGTTACAGCTGAATCATGGATCATTCATAGATAATTGTCATTAGACGAGGTTACAATTAAATGCTCACAATGTCTCTAAATTATTTTATCATTGTGTGTTGTATATGTGCAAAATAAAAATACATATAAATTAAAAATTCAATTGTGGGAAATTATGTATGTCTCCATATCACATACTTTGCTTAGTTTGGGACTACATAGCGCCTATCCTTTTGTTCTTCCCATTATATTTGAGTGAGAATATTAAAATTCTTCCACAAATATGGGAGACTCATTACCATTATCAAATAGCAACGTCCATACTAAATACCTGATTCGGCCTACCAACTGATACGTATTTAACTTAAAAAAATGAGTAAATTTTCCAGGGATATTATTATTACTAAATTCGAAAGTGTGTCCTGTCTCTTTGTGGCAATTTTCATATATGTCTTCCTTTTCTAAGTTGGTTCAAAACAATTTTACGTATATATATAATATAGAATGTTTACCCATAAACAAATTTTAATTGCATTAAAACACAGTCTATTTATTAGTGTTGATATTAATGAAGGATTACGAGGTATCTTTAAAGCCTTGATTGATTTCTAAGTATTTGGTAAGTGATAATAATTTCTACGAATTTGGTAATAATATGTTAAAATGATGGTGAAATATCTCTTGTTATCAGAATATCAATATTTTCAAGAAATATTTAGGGAAATAATGATCCACCAGCAAGCAATTTTGTTTGTGTATGTATTTTCATAAATACTCTTCTGATTCGTAATCTTTCAAGAATGACACATGTTTTTTACGCCTGATGACTTTATTATGATCACGTGAAAGTCGTAAAATGAACAGTCTCTGCAATCTGAATGTCCTGATTATTGTCTTCGTCGTAACTTCAAATTACTTAGTTTAACACTAAGGACTAAGGACCAAGTTTATTTACTTTGTATGTAGAGCATTGAAAGCACAACATTTGTCCGATATTTACAATTCAAAATTATACAACAACGTTCGTACTAGAGTCAATTGTCCTGCGGGAATGAGCAATGATTTTGCGGTGAGGATTGAAGTTCACCAGGGCTCAGCCATCTACCCATTACTCTTTAATCTGGCCATAGATCACATCACAAAACATATTTAACCCCGCTTAACTTAGAACCTATTTTATGCTGATGATATAATATTGGTCTCTTTGGAATTGGAACTGAACTACAGACTGCACTGCACTGTAACATGGGTTTATGCAGTATAATATTCCTGACCCGAAAGTAAGACACTTTAATACATACATAGTTAATTGACGACAATGGAGAGCTGGAGGCGAACGTGACTTGCAGAATAAATGTGGCTTGGCAGAAGTGACAGGATTATGTGGTCAAAAGAGCCTTAAGATTACCCGAACGTAAAAGAGTTCCTCCAGCCACCTGGTGCATAATTTATAAGACGTGTCTCTTGAAACTAAAATATTTATTTATTCAATAATAATATTCGCTGTCATAGTTGAGATAAAGCCTACTACAATTCATTTCTAAGATAAATTCTTGGTTATAGGATAGGCAGTGAAATGACATTTGAGTACTTACTATAAAATGTCTTTTAAAGTATCTGAAATGACTTTGAATGAATGTGTGTAAATAATATCTATATAAAAAGAGAAATGGTTTGATTATTTATAGTTAGCAGTGAATAAAACAACCTGTGTTCCAACCTTTAATAATGGAATACTGATAAGTTAATGATTCATATTAAACTATTAATTTGTCTTTTATTATAGTTTGACATATGATCATATCACCCGCAGTGCTAGGATAGAGTTATTTATGACCAAGATTAACCGAAAAGAAAATTGTCTTACAGTCGTCGTACTAGTTTTGTAAGTATTTTTTCTCGTTCCGCTTGAAATGTGTAACATTAAAAAAGGAATGACAAAAGTAAAGTAATGTTTCAGTTCCAATCTACGTTTTAATCTTATGAGTAGCTCAATACGGGCGGTTGTTTTCGGCGAGAGACCACAGCATGGAGCTTTTCAAGAAAATTATTAAGGTTTCTTAATAAAAGTGTTAGCAACAATTTTCCAAGAGATGGGCGTATCCTTGTTTGCCACAGTTGCAGTTAAAGAAAAAGGTATACCATCAAAGAGTAGTCCTTGGGTTATCCCGGTGGAGAAGTAGCGATAAGAGGTAGGAAGGATGAGGAAATTAGTCAGCAGGCAAATGTCGAATTAGTGTTAATAAAATAAATTTTGGCGCTATTTTGTCTTATTGTTGAAATAAAATTAAAAGAAAGTGAAATGACATGAAACATCTGGGTAATCACGCGAAATAAAAATAGTATACACAAATAATAGTAAAATGCAATCACTCAAATAAAATTGTGCGCGCTGGCTATCTCGACGAAATCACGCGTGAAAGAACGTACCGTGTAAAGGCAGCTATTGGAGTAAATTTAGAGAATCCATAGATCTTAATCCTGTAAATTTTATGCGATCTAGTTTTTATTTTTAAGAGCAGACAAGGCAGCGACGTTCCGCCCCGTAATTTTCAGTCAGTCTTCTATTGGTTCCTTTAAAAGTCTCGAGTGCTAATAAGGGGCGTTCTCGTCTTCTTTGAGAGAGTTGACTTATATATAAAGGACCGGAATCAGTCTGTCTCATAGGTTATAAAGATAATATTTTGAGTCATCTTATTGTTATTAAGTTGCAAGCAAACATTGAACGCAGACACACATATAGAGAAAAATATTGACCTGGTAGATAGGGTAGTCGCAAACTCTATAGCTGCCAAACGCTAATTCTATTACGTATCTACAGTGGAAAATGAGCATAATTTTTAACAACTTCATACAAACCGGTCACCTTATGAAGTACAGTATGAAATGTTGAAATTGAAATCAGATTTCCGCTTCTTGGTGAAAGTAGTTCAGTTTCACTAGTATGGATTACGAGTTTTGACCTGATATGCCCATCTCGACTAAGCATGTAAGGTCCTTACAGTTTGTTTGTTATTGAGTAAACTAATTTTCTTTATTATTATTGTCAGTGCCTTGGTTGTTACGAGTCATGGAATCTCACTCGTGCATGAGCATTAGCACGATTACTCCCTGAGAACGCACTAGTACTCTGGCTGTCGCTCTCAGTATTCAGCTAATCATGAATAATTCATGCAGTTTTAATGTACGTCCTGCTAAACTAGTCGGTATTCATGGGTGCCTAATAAATATATTTAAAAAACGGTTGCTTTCGAGCTCCGAAAATGTCGCTCTGTTTGATGCTGTTTTTCGCTATGAGTGTATTTTGTATGTAATCGGAATGACAAACAAGTTGATGGGCCACCCGATGGTCACCTTGGCATCATCAGATGATGCCAAGTCCGTATGTACCACTGTCTGTAGTACCATTCAGGCATTGCAAATTCGGAGGATTAGATTTCACTAACTTATCTCACGCTTCAACCGAAGTAGATGAGACAGAAGTGAAATACTTCATTTTGAGCCCATATATTGGATAATTATAGTTTATTATTTTAGTACGGACTCTTTAATTTGTTGTAACCTTATTGACATTATTCGCTAATACTAACAACATGATGATTACGGTTAGTCGGGTGAATTTGATAGCATTGGATGCGCAGACGCAGTCGATTAGCTCCGTCCGGTTCAGATAACACTATACGGAACGCTGATCCGAATTATTACAAACGATGCCATGAGCTGACTTAATGAATAACTCCACTCCAAGATATGTTAGACATAGTTTCTAGCTATTTTCTTGCTTTGTTGAATCATAGAGTATATATACCTACTATATGACACGATGTGCTAATATTATGTTACAGGTTTCCAATGTGCCTTTCCCCATCTACTCTTTTTTTCGCAAGAATTTGAGAGAAATAAAAGCCAGCTATATAGCATTTAGCGAATTCCAATTCCCGGCTTTAAGCATGTGTGATGTCTATATGTTTATTGATCAGTCATTAGATCAGGTTATTATATACCTACACAAACACAATATGTGTGGCGTGTCTCATGAAAAATTCTACTTTTGAAAGTTAAAATTTTATGATGTGAATGTGTGAAAATTGTATCTGTACCTATCTTAAAGATCTACGTTTAAGTTTAGTTTAGTGCAGTGTGAATAGATATTTATTAAAAATGGTATAATTCTTTTACAAAGTTTTGTGGTAAGGACGGTCACCGTTACTAATATTATGTATTATAGTATCTATATATATATATATTATCGGCAATTGTAAAATGTAAAACATAACTTAAAATTTATATATAATGTGTTCTTCAATGTGCTATACATAGTATAGCATCGCCGGCTTCTCAGGTTTGTCTTCTAGCAGGAATTATCATATATCTACTGCGTACATTGTTTATCTGTGTCTACTGTTCATGCTTACTACTGCTGGCAACCGTTGTCAATAGTAGTAACATTACGAACTTGACAATAAATTAATGTTATTGTTCATTAAAATATTTTACTGAACTTATTAATTTACATTATTATGCGTTATTTTTTATTATTATTTAAGATACCATACAATTAATATAAAATTATGATGTGACGGTTACATATATATATTAATAATGGTATGTGAAAGAGTCAAACCTGTTAGTAGAAAGAGTAACAGTTTATTAATAAAGCGATTAGTATCATCCTCCTTTCAGCACTTTACAGTCAACTGCTGAAGAAGTCTGCCTCACAGGAAACCATAGAGAATAGCTCTGATTTGACATCTATTTATTCTGCAACACAGTGCGTTTGTTTGTACTAAGTTACTATAAGAAAACTTTATATCCTTACCGTTTACATGTTGATCAATATATTTAAATAATAATTTAAACAACTATTTATCTTACTATGTACACCTATTCTAGATATAAAATACATAACCGGTTTCGGCTAGTTTTATTTTCCGTACCTAGATGTTCACCATGCGAGGTAGGTGTAAAGTAGAGCGCGAAGAGATCGTCGACGGAAGCTGTGGTGGTTACGGGATGCGCGGGCGGCTGCGCGTAGGGCTGAGGCTGTGCGTGCGGCGGTGGCGGGCCTCCGTAATGCATTCCGCTCGGGCCCGCCTCTACCAGCAATTGCATGTGGGATATGTCCACAAACTCGTCGCCATCGCCGCGACCGCCCAGCTCCTCGTCCTCCGGCCGACGCATCGCGATCACCGAGAGCATCGCACGAGTGCATCCCCACGCTGCACACACCACACCACGGCGTGCGGCTACACGCCGCACCTACACTCACATGCACTGCTTTGCACGCGCGCTAATGCCTCACTGGCGGCGCTTACGCCGATAAACTTGTATATCACTATTCACCCTAACGGTTATTTTTGTAAACTAGCTAACTTATGTTCCTAACGAAATTGACGCGATCACAGAACATTGCATTTAGGAAACTACAAAAACGCGGCACCGTAATCACACTGAAGGGTCATGAGTATCTACTGATAAATGAACACAGATTTCGCACGCGGTGAGTGTCGTCGCGCGGAGAACGCCACATCCTCGACTGAGGCGCGATCGCTGTGTCGAGGGCGTGCAGCACGCCGCCCCCGTGCAGACGCGTGGCCGGTCGTCGCCCGCTGCGCGCCCTATCAATGGACGCCAGCCACCCGGTCGAGGTCGGCGTTCATTCACGACGGCCGTATTAATGGCGTTAGAGTCGAGCGCCCTCGCTCGGTCGCGTCGCCCACGTGCGCGAGAAAATGGCGCGGCGTCGCGACGATGAAGGGAGGCGCGCGAAAAGCGCGGGGCGCACAAGTGTAGTGATGGCGGTGCCACGGCGGGCGGCGTGAGCGCGCGGGCGGCGCGTGGGCGCGGAGGCTCGTCGCGCGCGAGCGTGCGTGACGTCGTCGCGCTTGCCGCTGCCTGCCACTGCGCTGCATGCGCTCTCCTATCAGCGGCCACTTTCTCTGGCAGCTGAATCACGCTCCACATTGGTACGCTACGCGCTCGTCGCCCGGTGACGGTTCCCTGGGACCGTTTTGGTCATGCCACAATTAGCCGCGTGGCACGCGCGCTCCCGTGACGTTGGCGGCCCGGTCCAGATAGTTGAAGCGTTACGTATGTTGGATAAATCATGAGTTCACCTAAAAATACATAGCCGGTCATAGTTGTGCTACGTAATGATACCTTCACTCACTGTTACTCCATAATCTAAATCTGTACGTTACGCTTGCAATACTAATATATTAGAAATCTATTTGTGACTTACGTGTTATCTTAATTGTAACTTCAATATATGTATTATTGGATAAAAAATTAGATATATTACAGTTACGAGATATGAAAACACAAAGCTTGGTTAAATAATAAGCTTGGTCAATTTAGTAAAGTTCATTTAAAATGAATCCGGACCAAGAGTCGAATCCAAGAACTTACTAATTTACATAATTCACATATATAAATACGCTTTGGCGGAGGTCTAAATTAAAAAAATAATATTTCGCCTTGTAGAAAGCGATTTATCTATAGGTTTTCTATAAGGAAAATTAATTTCTCGTTAAATAGTTGAGTTATTAAAGTTAAGTAATTGAAACATTAAATAGGATTAATTTTCTTCAAAGAAAACAATTTATTACTTATGTACGAAGAAAAATTTAAAGATTTGCTACGAGAAGACTTCTATGAAAGAGGTTGGCGAAAAGTGAAACACATTACTGTGGCTGGTCTTATCTTATATACTCCAGGACTTAACATCCAATCATGGTAGTCTAACTTAGTGCTAATTCTTTGGACCACATATACATATATACCACATATACTAGCTGTACCGGTAACGCGGTTTCACCCGCATGAAATTTATAGCCTATATGTTATTCTGACAGTTTTTATCAAAATCCATTCTATAGTTTTTGCGTGAAAAACGAAAAGGGTAACAAACATTCGCGTTTGTAATATTAATAAAATGTGATCTTACATGAGCTTAATTGAGACACAATAAAAATATATCGCAAGATTGTGTTGTTTAATCATAAACAAAATTTGATCTATGCGGTACTTTTCATCGCTCTATTACAATAGTTTCTCGGAGTTTCAAGCAACAATTTACAGTGAAAATTTTATATTTTTATAGTACCGTATGGTACTGCAAAAAATTATTTCTATCGTTAACATACTACTAGGTTATATAACTCTACTAGGTTACACTATTTTATAACGAAGATATTAATGAGAATAAGGTGTAAGTATTACATATAAAGAATTTTTAAACCGGTTTATTAACGACAAAGTTATAATCTAACAAAAATAAAACTATTGCAAAAGAAAGATGCCCTTTTTTTTAAATTGGTTAAAAATGGAAAAATGTCGATAAAAGTTGTTATAATTATTAATGCAAAAACATTTTTCAATTTCGTGAACTCCATTCAATTGTTATTTATTAATTATGAAAAAAAAAAATGTAATATCATATTCCATTCGGATTGTTCAATACAAATTGGCTGATATAATAAACAGCTCACAATGTGGGTGTGGAAGTGAATCATCTCGAGGGTAGATCTGAGGTCCCAGGAATGAGGAAAGGTCATGGCGTATGGTTGTCATGGCAGCCACCTGTTGACTTACAGCTCGGGACGCCAAATGTCAAAGTGCATGGTGTGGGCGTTTGAATGTAGGCAGGGGTAGCGGGGGTGTGCCCCCGATCTCTAGAGACAGTTACTTGGATTTATAAAACTTAAAAAAAATCACCTATATGTTACATTAACATAACATCTTTTTGTTTCTTAAAATAAATGTTAATAAATGAATATTTATATTCTAACTAGTTGTGCCCGCGGTATCATCCGCGTTAAATTTAAATATAAAATATCGCCTGTGTTATTCTGATGCAAACTATGTCACTGTAAAGTATCTTCAAAATCCGTTCAGTAGTTTTTGCATGAAAGAATAACAAACTCCATAGTTACAAACTATCGCATTTATAATATTACTAAGATGATTTTAATAATCCACTTCCTGTCAAGGGGCCATTCATAAGTTACGCCATACAAATTTAATTATTGTTGCTTTCCTCTATCACAGTTCGTCACATTTTAATAGTTCAAATTTCGTGTTTCATCATCCTAAAAAATCACAAATCTATATTTATTTTCAAATAATCAGACTCTTATTTTTTTTACTATTTTTACCTTATTGTATTGTTTTTTATAAAAAATATACGGCCAACAATTATATTATTCGCCAAGCGATTTTCGCAGTCTACAGAGTCTTGTTTTGTCAGGGGTACACAATACAATGGTTATCTTTTTAGATCTATGTATAAAGGAATGTTGTGTTAGAAGCCTTTGAAATAAAGATTTCTTAAATTATCGTTATATTACCGAATTTTGGATTGGCTAAAATTTTGTAATAATTTAATAATATTTCTGTATTTATATGATCTTATCCTTTTATTAGACGTAGCTTTTGATTGTTCTGTTGCAATGTTTTTTTTCTCTAGGTAATTTCTTTTATTATAAAAAAATAATAATAATTATAGAAAATATATTATTATATAATGAATAAATAGACGTAAAATTTAGGTTAAAAAATATGAGGACGTCTATGGTTGGTGTAAGCTACTTATTTCATGAATTTGCAGCTAAAGAGTATAATATTTGCTGAAACGTAATTATTATAAAATGCTGTGGTACTACTGATGGTACTCCACCTTATCCATATGAGAGTTATCGTATGTCAGGCTTGATCTGATTTCAGTAAAGGCAAGCAAGGCAAGTTTATTTTGATCCTTTCGCTTCAATAGTTACAATATTTTAATCATTTTTACTTATCCAATACTTGAAAGTACTAATGAAAATGGTGAAAATATATGTTGGCGGATAAAATTCATTCCTACGCGTATCCGGCGCCCACGGTATGCTATTGTATAACTGCCCATAGTCAGGAGTTACGAAAGTTCTGTCGGTAGATTTTTACTTTCAAGTTTACACATAACAAATATTGGATAGAACCGTCTGGATTCATAAATAGGAATTTATTATAAAGTGGTAGACAGATAAAGTTTTCATAAATTTTATAATAGAGATTTTTCGTGCTACACGCATGCTATAGTAGTGGGATATAGATTTGAGTAAAAACTCGCAACCTGTTTACCTATAATTAATTATTTTTTTAACTGAATGTCAATCTATGTCCCATGCACCTATAGCACTCCTACAGCATGCCAGTAGCACTGTAGAAAGGTTCATCAGTAGATATATAATTTTCTAACTTTATCCGTTGTAAACTAATGTAATGAAGCGAAAAAAGAGTTGCTACCATGATTCTAAAACTGATTAAATTTTTGCCTTTTTGAAAGGTTCTGTTACCTAATCGTATCTATTGTATCGTGAAATCGCGATATGATTGTCAGAAACAATTGACAGGGAGCCATAGGTCGGGGGCGTGGTTACGTAGCAGCCGTAATTTCGTCACCGCACTGCCTATAGCTCGATGACGTCTGTTTTGTTTCATAACATCCTATTTAGATAATAAGGGATGATAAATAAACACCGTTTGACACGACACAAAAATAGATCGACGACATTTTCATCGGTGGATTCGTTAACGTCAATCGAAGTCTGTTTGTGGCAGTTTCTATGACGTTATATCCTAATTACATATTTACGACAAACTCTGTGTTTATTGTGAATATAAATAATTTGTACCCGTCTTATGTCATTAATGACAGTTAAAGGCTTAAAATATAATATAATTTTTGTTTAGTCATTGTCACCAAAATAGGTTAACTACTACTAGTTCTAGACGGCCTCGGTGATCTAACGGTTTCGCATACTGTCTTTTGTCCAATGGTCGCGGCTTCTATTCTTCGAATACAAACATTTGTATTCATGAGTATAATTGTGTGTATAGGTCTGGGTGTCTACTATGTATATTATATATTTATTTATAAAAGAAAATGTATGTAAGTATTTATATCCGTCATCTTTACCCATAACACGAGCTCTGCTTAGCTTAGGTTAGTATGCAACGTGTAATGTATTCACATACCGGAAGTTTTCAAAAGTAACAATGGTTTACAAAACTCGAGAGCAAGAAGCTTGTCAAACATCACATAATATTTGGGTATTAGCTGTAGTTCACCGAGTTCAAATCTGTTCACAAATTTATTAGAGTTTGTTTTATTGTTAACAAATTTTTATTTAAACAAAATACGGGTATTGATATGTTAAATATATTTATGTCGAAAATTAAATATAATGTAACAACATTATAAAAAAAAAAATATATCTTCTTGCAATATATAAAAAAATATATTTTTTTCTAGACGATCGATCATCATTCATATTTGAATTTCTTTGTTCGTACGGTTTACTGTACGGTGAGACATTATTTTTAATATAATTATTGTGATATTAACATATTAATAAGGCCAGCATTGGGAAATCGACAATAATGCCAGTAGAGGTTCCGTCAGTTAGTACTGGTTGCGGGGGCGAATAGGAAGATCGACTTATATGGAAACGGCGCGCGCGCAGATTAGCGTCACCGCTCGATTAACCACCGTTGGTTCGATTAACAATTTGGATAAAAAACAGTCTCGCTAGTCTGTACTTATA